AATGAAACTCAAGACCCGATGGTCTAACCACTGAGTATGCTCTTGTCATAACCTGCAAAGGTCTGGCCAGGATGTCACTAAGTTGTTTTTTAACACTTAAGTCAGAATTAGGTGTTCCTAATGATTTAGGAAATCAGTGATGTATTTTTTATGTAACAACTTTCAAAACATCTAAATCAGAGGTGGGGAACGTCTGGCCCATGGGCTCAAGAAATCATTTGGTCTGGTGCTGCCAACGCAACCACAGGTGGGACTCAAAATTCAATAAATCTAGGAGCTTATTGCATAACAGCAAATTTATATTAAGTAAGTTAATTATATTAAGTGAATGATGTTATAAATATCCAAATAACCCTTGGCAGAAAAAGTTTCCCCACCCCTGATCTAAATGAATCAGATTTTTCTACAGATGTAAGCAGACTGGTCTTTTTCTAGTAAGGAGAAATAATGCAGTAGTAGCTGTCCTCTCAGCTATCAATTGAAATGTAAATAGTCTTCCTATACACCACCTTACTGAGCAGCAGGTAGAAAAGGCAGAAATTAGTCTGGGAATTAGGAGTCTTATTACACGAATCCTTTTCCAGGGAGCATTTATTTTTCCTGACTGCCATCTCAACAGCTCTGTATTTGAATACATTGCTAACCTTCAGCCATTATGCAGTCATCTTTCTTATGCATTCTATAATTCTTAGATTAAGAACTCTCTCCCGCCCTAACCGGTTTGGCTCAGTGGATAGAGCGTCGGCCTGTGGACTGAAAGGTCCCAGGTTCGATTCCGGTCAAGGGCATGTACCTGGTTGTGGGCACATCCCCAGTGGGGGGTGTGCAGGAGGCAGCTGATCGGTGTTTCTAACTTTATCCCTCTCCCTTCCTCTCTGTAAAAAATCAATAAAATATATTTAAAAAAAAAAAAAAAAACTCTCTCCCGCTTCCTTCCATAAGCTCCAGTAGACCTGTGTCCCTGCTCAGTCCTACCTTTTTCATGTTCCTTTAAAAAACAAAACAAAAAAACCTTTATTGATTTCGGGGACAGGAAGGGAGAGGGAGCGAGTGAGAGAGAATCTTGCACGTGAAAGAGAAACATTGACTGGCTGCCTCCCACACGCACCCCAACGGGAGAACACACCCACAATCTGGGCATATGCCCTGACCAGGAATTGAACTGGTGACCTTTTGGTGCATGGGATGACACTCAACCAACTGAGCCACACCAGCTGGGCTCTTTTTAAAAAAATTTTAATTTAACTTTAAGGCTCCAGCAGATGGTACCACATATTTTATTTTCTGCTTATCTTGTTCAGCACCTTGGAAATAAAGGGATTTAACCTGTCAGAGAATTCAGGTGTGATGTTAAGGCTGGATTCCTCTTTTAAGTCTAAGGCCCCAAAGGAGGAGACTTACAGTTTATTTGAGTTTGGGAAGTTATATAAATGCCACAGTCAAGCATTTTTGTTGCTATATGATGATTAATTAACTCTTTGTGTTCCAAGACTGTGGGTTTTTCATTGCAGTATCCCCAAAGCCCGAGACACAGCTCAGAAAAATCTTCCAAGAATGTGAACATCCCGTGTACTTCCTTAGAGCCATATTGGTAATGTGGCACTTATCATTTTTGTTTGTTTGTTTGTTTTTTGAAATTTTATAAGAGTTTATTCGAGCCATACTGATAACATGCAGGGAGCAAGATCTCAAACACTTCCCGGCATTTATCATTTCTGTAAGGGCTACTTATTACTTGTCGATACCCACCCTGCTAGACCTTAAATTCCATGAAAATAGTCTGTGAGCACAGTATCTATGCCCTAAAAGTTTGTATTCAATGTATAAATCTGGCTTCAAAGAGATTTGGGCCACAGGTAATGGTCATTGTCTTCACTGTGTTTCATGGCTACCTACAACTCTAAAAGATAGGAAAGGACTTGGATTAGCTTTGAAGGCACTCGGTGAATATTTGTTGCTGGTAATCAGTGCACACGTGCTATAACTTGGAAAAATACCTTTTTGTGTGTGTGTGTTATGTATTTATTTATGTAAGTATACATACCCTCTTCCTTTTTGCCAAATCATCTAAAAGTAAGCTGCAGACATTGTGACTCTTTATGCCTAAAACTTGAGCATTATCTTTTCAAAACGGGCACATTTCCACATACCACAAAACATGACCACACCTAGGAAAAACAACATTATTTCAATAATATAATCCAGCTTAGAGTCCACTTGCAAATAGTCCCAATTGCCCCCCAAAATATAAATTATGGCTTTAAAAAAAAACACTTAGGAACCAGTTTATGAATTATATTTGGCATGATTAGTTCTTGGCTCGTTTTATTGGAGGCTGTGTGTGAGTGTGGGTGTGTGTGCGCGCTCGTGAAGGTGGGAAGTTTACCATCCTTTCTCATTCATTTTGGACACCTTCTGGGGTTTGTTGGACTTTGGTTTGCTCTGATGCATTCCTTTTCCCCAGAACCAAGGTAAGGTAAAGTTCTCTGAATTTTTGTGTACATACAGTTATCTCTCTTTATCTGTAAATCTTATATGGCTGCATTCTTTCTCAGTTTTTCCCAATTCCTTTCTCCCTTAGGAAGGTATGAAGGGGCACACTGACTCTTGAAAATTCTGTTTTAAAGTTCTTTCTCCCTCACCTCTGGTTGTATGCCTTGCATTTGAGAATGGGTATGCTCTTGTCATAACCTGCAAAGGTCTGTTGAGCCCTGGCCTGTGTAGCTCTGTTGGTTGAGCATCATCCCATGCACTGAAAAGTTGCTGGTTCGATTCCCAGTCAGGGCACATACCCAGGTTTAGGGTTCGATCCCCAGTCAGGATGTGTGTGGGAGGCAACCGATCGATTTCTCTCTCTCTCTCCCTCTCTCTCTCTCCCTCTCCCTTCTTCTCTCAAATTAATAAGAGCATCTCACAAGTCTTTTGAATGTTATGGTTGATTCAGCTTCATTGCATGCCAATAATTCTGCTATAGGTGGGCTGTTTGAATGCTTTGAAAGCTTGCTATAAATCTTGACATTACTTGACAGGTTTTTCTAAGACCCTTTAAGCATCTGATTAAGCTTAGCAGATTACTTTTCAGTTTTAATTTCTCTGGTTTGTATTTTTCTTTTTTTGTTAATCCTCACCCAAGGATATTTTTTCCCATTGATTTTTAGAGAGAATGGAAAGAAGGAAGGAAGAGGGGTGAGAGAGAGAGAGAGAGAGAAACGTTGATGAGAGAGACACATCAATTGGTTGCTTCCCGCATGCACCCCGACCGGGAGCTGGGATTGAACCTGCAACCCAGGTATGTGTCCTTGACCTGAATCAAACCTGTGACCCGTTGGTCCCCAGGCCGATGCTCTAACCACTGAACAACCAGCCAGGGCAGTAGGTATTTTTCATATCAAGATTTATTTTTTTCCTCTCTCACCTCCCTTAATAACTGATCCTTAGTTGATGTTTATCTCTCTCCCTCTCCTCTCTTTCTAAAAAAAAAAAAAAATCTTAAAAAAAAGTAAAGTTTGCCCTAACCCAGTGGTCGGCAAACCGTGGCTCACGAGCCACATGTGGCTCTTTGGCCCCTTGAGTGTGGCTCTTCCACAAAATACCACGTGCGGGCGTGCACATACAGTGCGATTGAAACTTCGTGGCCCATGCACAGAAGTCAGTATTTTGTGGAAGAGCCACACTCAAGGGGCCAGAGAAGCCGCATGTGGCTCGCGAACCGCAGTTTGCTGAGCTGCAGTTTGCCGACCACTGCCCTAACCGGTTTGGCTCACTGGATAGAGCATCAGCCTGCGGACTGAAGGGTCCCAGGTTCGATTCCGGTCAAGGGCATGTACCTTGGTTGCGGGCACATCCTAGGAGGGGGTGTGCAGGAGGCAGCTGATAGATGTTTCTCTCTCATCGATGATTCTGACTCTCTACCCTCTCTCTTCCTCTCTGTAAAAAATCAATAAAATATATATTAAAAAAAAAGTAAAGTTCTTTAAACACACACACACGCACACACGTTCCCTTGCCTGTTTATCTTTGCATTTCTAGTACATAGCAGTGTATTCAGCAGGTAGTAGCTACTGCATAAAATACTTGAATGAATGTATGTATTTGTGGTAATGGGATTAGAATCCTTGATGAGGAATGTCAATACCAGGATACCCAGGCTTGGAAGAAGAATAGTTAAATTTATTTTTTAAAACAGTATTGCTAAAAAAACAAAACAGATATTTATGCCATTTGAAATCAGACTTTCCTACAGGGGGACTCAGGCATTGATGTCAGGTTTCCACAGGTGATTGCGATGTTCACTCTGGGTTGAGAACTATTGGGCCATGTAAATTATAGATATAAAGTGGCGCCAAGTGGGCACTTCTCAATTGAGGTGAAAATCAGCCAGCCTTATTTTTTCCCTGTTGAGTTCTTTGCTTTTTCCACATTTGCAAAGGTAAGTAGGGGATAGGAGGTGTGGGTACTTTTATTAATGAATGAAGGAGAAGTACAATATTTTCTTACAGTTTGGAAATATGTCTCTGGGTATAAGGTAAGTTATTATTTTTCTGATGGAGTGAAAGTAACTACTGTATTGGAAACCTAAAACAGAATAGCTATTATTCTGTTATTGATTTGCTCATTAACATTTCTGGAGCATTTTTAGAACTGTGTGCCAGGCACAGTTCCAGAATGCTGAGTACTATTCTCTCTATTTTTTTATTGATTTAAGAGAGGAAGGGAGAGGGAGAGAGAGATAGAAACACAACGATGAGAGAAAATCATTGATTGACTGCCTCCTGCACGCCCCCTACTAGGGATCCAGCCTGCAGCCCAGGCATATGCCCTTGACTGGAATCAAACCTGGGACTCTTTGGTCCATAGGCCAACACTCTATCCACTGAGCCAAACTGTCTAGGACTGAGAACTATTCCAGAAGTTGATTAGAATATGTATACTTATTGGGCATCTCTTAAATTTATGAAGTCTTTTAATTTTTTTTACAGTGTTGATTTTGATTCTTTCAGGTTCTTCAAATAGATCCTGAAGTGACAGATGAAGAAATAAAAAAGAGGTTTCGGCAGGTATAGTACTATTTCTCTGTAATGGATGGAGTTTGAACATTTTGAAAATGTAAGCATGTGATGGTTTTCTTAAGATTTGCTGTTATGACGTTTGGGCCAACATTTAACTTTTTTTTTTTTAAACTTAAGGCTATGTAACTCAGATAAAAACCTTATAGTGACATAAAATCTTAAGTAATTTGATGGTCATCTGAATGGAATGAATTTTATATCCAAATAGAATCTCTTTAGCCCCTTAATTAAAAGGGAGAAGTACAAGTAGAATTGTAGCGCTTACATGGAGTCATGCTTACTAAGTCCCCTGGCTTCCAGGCGAGAACATGTTAAATGATTTGTAACAGTTCTTTATTCTTTTAAGACCCCACTCCTTAGTAATTTTCTTTTGTAAATTTAAATGACTATCCAGGAGATAACTGGTTTAAAATAAGGAGTGCTTTGTAGAAATTCTCTAGGAAAAGAGATCCACAATGTCTGATTCTTGTTCAGTCTAATCCTATATCCTATATAATAAAAGCCTAATATGCAAATTGCCCAAATGGCGGAACGACCAGTCACTATGACATGCACTGACCACCAGGCAGTAAATGCTCAATGCAGGAGCCTGCTCCTTGGTGGTCAGTGTGCTCAGCCAGAAGCCGGGCTCACAGCTGGCAAGCACAGTGGTGGTGGTGGGAGCCTCTCCTGCCTCTGTGGCAGTGCTGAGGATGTCCAACTGCTGGCTTAGGCGGAGAATGGGCCTAAGCTGTCAGTTGGTTATCCCCTGAGGGCTCCCAGGCTGCGAGAGGGTGCAGGCTGGGCTGAGGGTCCCCCTCCCCCAAGTGCACAAATTTCATGCACTGGGCCGCTAGTGTTTAATAACTTGAGCTACAAAGTAGTTTTGAGAGTTGAGTAAACCTTCAGTCTTTCCTTCTGTGAGTTGAATAATCACACTCCCGATAATGTCTTTACAAATTGGATTTTCTATGTATTTCATGTTTTGTTTTGTTTTTAACTTTCCCCAATGTCTTTATTTCTGTTATGTACTACAGTTTTCAACCGGTGTGCCGCAAGAATTTGAAAAACATGCAATACCTGACTATTTAGTCAGGGGCACTGACCTCTTTTCCCTTAGATTATCAAATAAAAAAATGATGACAACCAACACAACAATAGCCATTTGGTGTGAATGAATCAAAATTATACTTATTGTACCTGGCCAGTGTGGCTTAGTTGGTTGAACATTGTCCCATGCACCAAGAGGTTGCTGGTACATTTCCTGGTCAGGGCACATACCCGGATTTTGGGCCCCATCTCTAGTGGGTGTGTAGGAGGCAGCCGATCAATGTTTCTCTCTCACTGATGTTTCTATCTCTCTGTCCCTCTCCCTTCTGCTCTCTCTCTAAAAATCAATTAAAAAAATATTAAAAAAACCTAGGATGTTAATTTAAAAAAATTAAATTATGCCTATTTCTTTTTTGTCAATTCGACAAAAAATATATTTTTTGGTGTGTTGCAGAATTTAGTAATTAGTTTGTGTGCTACAAGATGAAAAAGGTTGAAAACCACTGTACTACATATTTAAAAGGGCTTGACCAGTGCTGAATATTATTCTTAGCTCCTGCATGACATCCTTGTTAATACCCAGTGTTATGCTTGCTTCTTTTTGTCTTTTGATGCTCATCCAAAGATATTTTTCCATTGATTTTTTTTGTTACTCCTCACCTGAGGGTATTTTTTCCATTGATTTTTAGAGTGGAAGGGAAGGGTAGAGACACACAGAGAGAGAAACATCGATGTGAGAGAGATTTGTCGATTAGTTGCCTCTGGCACACGCCCCAACGGGTTGGGACCAAGCCTGTAACTGAGGTATGTGCCCTTGACTGGAATTGAACCCAGTCTGCGAGCTGAAGCTCTATCCACTGAGTCAAACTGGCTAGGGCTTTCCATTAATTTTTAGAGAGAGTGGAAGGGAGGGAGGAGGGGGAGAGAGAAAGAGAGAGAGAAACAGAAACATTGATGTGAGAGAGACACACTGGTTGCCTCCTGCACACACCCTGACCTGGGCTGGGGATCGAGCCTGCAACCGAGGTATGTGCCCTTGACCAGGAATCGAACCTGAGACTCTTTGGTCTGCAGGCCGATGCTCTAACCACTGAGAAAAACTGGCTACAGCATGCTTGCCTCTTGAATACAGTAATTGCCCCCTCATTGCTGACTCATAATCATCTTATGATCTGCTATTAAGCCAAGATGTTTTTTATCTTTGCCTACTTAATCTTTTCCCATTATGTAATTTTATAGTTTTTTTTTCTTCCTGAGTTCTCTGCACTTACATGTATTCAGTTTTTTTCTTTCTCTAAAATTTCAAGTTTGAACTGGGCAAGTTACTTTCAGCCTCTCTGTGTCTGTTAACCTTAATTGTGAAATGCACATAATAATGGTGTTTACCTTGTGGGGTTGTTAATGAGGGTTAAATGAGGTACTACAGTAATGCACTAGAATAGGTCTTGTCATATATGTCCTTGTTATATGGTAACTGTTGTCAGTGTGGGTTAGACAATATGCTAAGTTATTTACTTGCATTATTTCATTTCGACCTTAAAACAACACAGTGAAATATAAGTACCTAATATAGGTGGAAGATGAGGCAGATAGGTTAAGTGAGTTGCTTAAGGTCTTACAGCTAGTACATGATGGAAGTTGGAATTAGACCCCGGATTCTGTCTCTAATAATGTAGGATTTAGCATTAGATTCCCACTTGCTGTCATTCCTCAACACAGTCCCTCTATTCCAACTAGTTGGTTTCTGTCTGTCCGTGGCAGTAGGTCAGTGGTTCTTAACCATGGCTGTCTAAAAGAATCAGCTGTGGAGATTTTTGTTTTTTATTTTGACTTAAAATTTTTAAGTTATAAGGATAAAGCAATGAACACCCATATACTCACCATCTATTTGCAACAGTTTGCTTCATTATACATATATTTTTGACAAGTAAATCACAGACACCTGATACTCCAGCATGAATCTCCTTAAATAAAAAAGGACATTTTTTTTGGCATAACTACTTGTTACACCTAACAAAATTAACACTAATTCCTTACTATTGTTTGATACCCATTCTAGTAGAGGTTTAACAAGTACAGATGCCAGAGACTCATTCAGAAGCTCTGAGGGTGGAAAGTAGACATTGTATTTTTTGAAAGCTTCACAGGATTGGAGCACAGCCAGAACTGAGAACCACAGTTTTATATTAGAAGTTCTTTTAGGAAAGAGATGATGTCCCATACCTATTCCTTAGTGCTCAGAATAAGGAACCTAACAGGAACTTGGTAGTTTTCAATATCCCTCCTCCCCCCTGTGATCACAACATCTTCATAATACTAGGCTTACATTTATCCTCAACATTGTGATTAAAACCCTAAATGTTTCCCAGTTGTGCATTTACCTTTTGGTGCTTGAATTTTGTTAAAGACCAGTATTTCTAGGCATTTTATGATATTTATTAATTTAAAAAAAATGCTTCTGGCCTGACTGGTATTGCTCAGTGGTTGAGCATTGACTCACGAACCAGGAGGTCACCGTTCAATTACCGGTCACGGCACATGCCAGGTTGCAGGCTTGATCCCCAGAGAGGGGCATACAGGAGGCAGCCATTCAATTATTCCCTCTCATCATTGATGTTTCTCTCTTTCCCTCTCCCTTCCTCTCTGAAATCAATTAAAAAATATTTTTAAAAAATGCTTCTGGCTAACAGTCTTTTTTGCCACAGTATCTTAGAGCTTTTGGGTTAAAGAATGCAGGCAAAGAGTAAATGTTCCTTTTCCCTTATAGTTATCCATCTTGGTGCATCCTGACAAAAATCAAGATGATGCTGACAGAGCACAAAAGGCTTTTGAAGGTATTTGTAAATTTACCTGCTTCTGAATAATATAGTCAATGTTAGGGACGAATTGTTCCTTGTCCTGGATCAAGAAAAGAATATAATAGTTTTGTCTTCTGGTCATGAAGAGCTGGTTTTCAGTAGAAGAACAGTTGTCATTCCAAAGCAAAATGTCGCTGTTTAAGAAATAGACCTTAAGTTTGCTTTGTTAAAGCTTCTGTGTGCCAACAAAGACAGTTACTGCATAGGATCCTTTTTTTCTCTGAACATAAAAAATAATTGGCCATGTTTTATCACTGGATTAAACCTGGATGTGGTGTATTTAGCCTTGAGTGTATATTTAATTTTTTCCAAGGCTCTCAAGGAAAGTCATTGCTATAGTTATATGTTTTTAAAATTAGTTTAACAACAGTAAATAATTTAACAAAGTAGGGAATGCTTTTAGATGGCAAAAGTCCGTTTACACTGCCTGAGTATAGTTCAGACTTGCAGAGGGTGTTTGCAGAAACAGTTAATTTCAATGTTTTGCATTAGCTGTGGACAAAGCTTACAAGTTGCTACTGGATCAGGAACAAAAGAAGAGGGCCCTGGATGTAATTCAGGCAGGAAAAGAATACGTGGAACACACTGTAAGTATTTATAGAGCTGCTGTGTTTACAGGAAGTATTAGCAAGCCGTGGGCATCTTGTAGAAGGGTAAATGTTAACATAGCAATGCCTACTGTTGAAATTGTGATTGCATATGTGGTCTCCACCACTTTGCTGTGGTGGTCCTGAATAGTGTGTGCCTAAAACTATTAATTCACCCCTAGACCTCAGGATGAAGAGTGGTTAGGACGCTGCTCCGACCTCTTTCCTTACCAGTCCCGTGTTGTGGAGAGATGGCTTTTTGTCCTCTCTTTACATGTCACATTGCTCCATTTGAGAGTGGAGAAGTGGAGCAGCCGTGGTCACACTTGACCCTTGATTTTTATGCTTATCCCTGTGAAGGGGTTGGAACATGGGGTTGAAGTAGGCTGGCAAGAGGATATGAGTAAATTTTTTAAAAAGGAGGAGCTACCTGTTTGTATTAACAACAGGGAAGGACTCAGTTGAAATAAATTTAGTTAGAGCTGGTGTTGTTTTTTCCATTACTGAAATCTGAGTGGCGGGAAATGTTAAGGTGGCTTGCTTGAGGTAAGAAAGGTCTTTGTTTAATTTTTTACTTGTGGGACAAGACTCTTGAGACCATTTATAAGGGCTATTTCAGTCGGGAGTGAATATGGTTGTTTTCTTTGAAGAGCTTTGGAATCTAAAACAGAACTTCATAACCAATAATAATAATGACTCCAAGTTTAATGAGGAAAAGGAGTACAAAGAGGAGATGGACGACCATAATTATATCCTACTGGTCTTGTGTTGGAAATGGCACGTGTAGGCCCAATTCTGAAAAAATCAGAAAAGTACCTGAAAATTTGTACTTGAACCATTGTAGTAGTTTCCTTTCATCTGAATTTTGCTTGTAAAGGAGCCACCCTCAGTCTTTCTGACCACAAGGTGGCAGTGGGGCCTTTCTGAGCTTGGAAAGCACTGCTTTTTGCTGGTGTACGACACTGAGTAATTGCTTAATGGAGTGATGTCATTCCGTGTGGATGAGTATATTTGATTTTTTGGGGGGATCTCAATAGTTGCCAAAGTGGTAAAAACACCAATTAACATGATGTGAAAATTATTGGTATAAAGGGGTTTCACAGTGAAAATAAAAGAATGCAGTTGTAGAAATGCCAAAAAACAGCACGCCAATATTTATTCTGTGCCTGCTTCTAAAACTTGACACATAATGTTTTCTTTACTAAACACATAACCACAAACTGTGAAAGATAAGTGGGTGATGTGTTGAATTCATTGGATCTGGCCTAGGATTTGATGAGTGGGGACAGCTCCCTCACGGTCCCATCATCCTGCCAGTCGACTGGATTTAGATGAGGCGAGAGAAAGAACCCCTTGCTCCTAGTTCTTGCTGATTGCATTGCTGTTTTGGAGGGAGGCTCTTCTTTTCGCAATGGAAACTTCTTGTTGTGCGTATAGAAAAGTACACATAACCGTGTGTGCAGGCTCGTGGGTATTCTTAAAGTATGAGTGCTCATTTTTTGATGAAAACAATTTTTTTTTAGGTGAAAGAGCGAAAAAAGCAATTAAAGAAGGAAGGAAAACCTACAAATGTAGAGGAGGATGATCCAGAGCTGGTGAGTTAAATAAGGGAAAAGCCACATTACCTGGTGTGTGTGGGTTCACTGGTGAGTTAAAGAGAGGGACGTCTAAAGAATGATGCACACATGCATAAACATTTATTGAGTATATATTGGAGTTTGTAGTTGACTTTATTTTATGAAACACACACATGAAACATTATCTATAGTTTTTAGTACTTTTAATTTCTTTTGAAGTACTTTAAAAATGTCGGTACTTGTGAAATATAGATTAAAGTCCTAGATATTTATGATTTTATTCCTAATCTTTTCAGATATCTCACCTGTACTTCATTCAGTAGCAGTTATTTTAGGGACTTACGTTTATTGAATTTTTATAAAGCATTGTACTTAGTTTTAAAATAAACAGTAGCCATTTTTATAACCATATTTATGAATTTCTGTGATATTTAAATCACACAAGTATAGTATTAATTGCAACTGGCACAGACAGCTTTGAGAAAAATCACAGATGACTCTTATTTTCATTTATTTATGTGTTGACTGATTTTAGAGAGAGGAAGTGGGGGAGAGAGAGAGACAGAAACATCGAAGTGAGAGAAAAACATCTATCAGTTGCCTCCTGCACGTACCCCGGCCGAGGATCCAACTCGAAACCTGGATATGTGCCCTGACTGGGAATCGAACCTGCCACCTTTTGGTGTACAGGATGACCCTCCAGTCAACTGAGCCATGTCAGCCAGGCCACAAGTGACTCTTAAACAGCTGTCTATGAGCCATGAGTTCATTGTGCTCTCTAGGTAATAATCTACAGAGTTATGGAGAGCATTGGATAATCCAGTAGGTTATTTATTGGAGATTGGTTAAGCGAGAGATTCTGCTTAAATATTTGTGTCTTTTTGCCTCTTTAGCCTGAAAAATTTAAAGTCATCTTAATCTTGCCTCAACTTAGGTCAGCATGTAAGTTATCCATATACCTATCTTGGTTTTAAAGATTTATAGAGAAGAGGCTGTCTTGCTAGGGAAACTTCTTTGCAACTTCTCTTGCTTCATTGATTTTGCTGACAGTGACTGGTCCCATCATCCGGACAGTAATGTTGCTTGAGAACTACTAGGCTATATTTTCCAATGGTTACCTATTTTGGGTTTACTCTCTTCCAGTATTTTAGTTTTTTTTCTCCTCAGTCTTATTTTTTCTTCCTTTTAATTACCCTCTGTAGTCTTTTCTGAAGGCCCTCTGACAAATATTCCTTGGTTCTTCTAAGTTGTTAAGAACCCTATTTTTTTTTAAATAAGTTTTTATTGATTTTTAGAAAGAGAGGAAGGGAGAGGAATAGATAGAAATATTGCTGAGAGAGAAACATCATTGATCGAAGCTGTCTCCTGCATGCCCCCTACTGGGGATCGAGCATGCATGTTCCCTGACTGGGGATTGAACTGGTGACTTCTTGGTTCCTGGGTCAGTGCTCAGCTACTGAGCCACACCAGCCAGACAAGCGCCCTAACTTTATGTTAGTTGTCTTTTTTTCCTGATTATAAAGGAACATATGCTAATGATAGAAAATTTGGAAAAAGCAGAAAAATATAAAATATTGACAATCACCAGTAACTGTTCACCCAGGAGAGTTTAGAGCTTTTAAAGATATTAAAATATTCATGACAGACTCTTTTACTCCTTTGATGTTTGCCTTTATTAGAGATTGGAGTTGGTCAGCACTGCTTTCATTGTGGACAGTAACAATATTATAACAAGCGAGAAATTTTTGGGCTCTTTTACTTACTTTTCTCTTCATATATTACTCTTTTCCCCAGTGCCTCTGATTTTAGGCTGTAGGTTCTATGAAATCTGCATGATGAGTTATTTTCTAACTTTCTTTGTATATTTAAAATACTTTATATTTGGAGGGAACGTTTTAGAGATAGAGTTCTGTTTTCTTTTTAAAAAAAATATATTTTTATTGACTTCAGAGAGGAAGGGAGAGGGAGATTGAAACATCAATAATGAAAGTGTCATTGATTGGCTGCCTTCACACCCCCCGACTGGGGACCAAGCCCTCAACCTGGGCATGTGTCCTGACCAGAATTGAACCATGACCTCCTGGTTCCTAGGTTGATGTTCAGCCACTGAGCTACGTCGGCCAGGCAGAGTTCTGTTTTCTATCTAATATGTTAACTCTTTCTGACTCTTCCAACAAGGATGTTGCCCCATCCTCAGAGTTCAGAGTAGAGGAAAGGAGCAAGAAGGGATAAGCCTGCTCTTTCTAAGAACATCCAGGAAGTTGCTACATCACTTTTCCTATTATCCTATGGGCTGAAACTTAAGTTACGTGGACCTCACTCTGCTACAAGGAAGCCTAGGAACACAGGCTTTTATGTTAGGTGACAATGTGCCTGAAGGTAAGGGATTTTAGATGGAGGGAGAGGAGATAATGAGATGGGTGGGGGTGGCAATTACAGCCCTGCCACAGTTAATAGACCCCTAAGACTGGTCTTCTTGATAACAACTTCATATCTCTAGTATCTAGTCTGGTGCCTAGCACAGAGTAATTATAACATTTTTGTGAAAAGAAAAAGAAAAGGAAGTTAATTTTGGAAGGTCTTTGGCACAAAGGATCCTCCAAAATCTCAAATGGTTGTGATGAGTAGGTAGTGCTTTTTACAAGAGCAAGTTTCTTATGTATCATCTGATGGTGAAAGTGGTGGAAATATCTCAGAGGTGGATGTGTTATTTATCTCTTGAGAGCATCATTAAGTGGTTCTCTCTGAAGATCCTTTTCTTTGCCGAGTTCTAGTCTGCTTTTGTTTTGGGCTCCATCTGAAAGTACTTGATTCAAGTAGTTGGTAAATAATTTAATTTTATTTTCTTTGGTTCTTAACTTTCTTGTAGTTCAAACAAGCAGTATACAAACAGACCATGAAACTCTTTGCTGAGCTGGAAATTAAAAGGAAGGAGAGAGAAGCCAAAGAGATGCATGAAAGGTATATATCAGTATATTCGCTTAAACCATATTTAAATACCTAGATTAACCAACATTGCTCTTTGGGGGGTTTTTCCAAAGAAGGAATAATGTAATAGGTCATTTAAACAATTATCTAAAATAGTTATCTGAAACAGCCAACGTTTTGAATCACAAGGGTAAGAAATTCTGACTTTGGGAAATACTGAATAGACCTGTCCACAGGGAGTTTATAATCAGGGATGCTGTGTACTTTCTTCCTGATTTCTTGGCGTGAAATAGGCAGTTATTGAGGCTGTTGTTACTGAGGCCAGAACTTTTTGTGTCTGGTAGCTGCAGCTTTGGTGAGTTGTAGTATCGCGCACACACACACACATATATATGTATGTATAATCACATATACAATGTCTGTTGTCCTAACGTATGTTTTCCCTGGCTCATCAAAAATCTTGAGTTTACTGGTAACTTAGTTTATGTATTTTGTGGCGTGGATTGGTGTTAAGCAATAATTAGGTTTTGCTAGTTGAAGTTGTATGAAATGTTCTTCTTTTGGGATAGAATTTTGTGCAGAGATCCTTTTGCGTAAGAACCTCTGTAATTGTAATGGTCATTCTACTGAAGTGTAGGTGGCCTGGGTTCTCGAGATAGTTTGTCAGTGGCTGAACGCAGAACCTCCAATTAGGGTTGGCTGGGTTTTGATGGTCTTGTCTATCTGTGTAATGAGAATTTATCTCTTCCCCATAGTCTTATCTGCATGTTTTAAAATGAGACATTTATGAAACAACTTTATTTTATTTCATTGTTGATAATATTACAGATGCCTCCCAATTTTCCCCCTTTTACCTCCTCTATCCCTCTCCTCCCAGCCCCACCCCAGGCCTTAACCACACTATTGTACTTCGGGCCCTTTTCAGATAGCTATCTTTGGTTGTGTTTCTTTTGTTGTTTTTAATCCTCACCCAAGGATATTTTTTCATTGATTTTTAGAGAGAGTGGAGGGGGAGATTCAGAGAGAGAGAGAGAGAGAAATATTGATGTGAGAGGGACACATCTATTGGTTGCCTCTCAGAGATAGAGAAACATTGATGTGAAAGAGACATATCTATTGGCTGCCTCTTGCATGGGGATTGAGCCTGCAACTGAGATATATGCCCTTAACCTGAATTGAACCTGGGACCCTCAGTCTGCAGGCTGACCTTCTATCCACTGAGCCAAACTGGCTAGGGCAAGACAGCTGCTATCTTTGTAGAATCCTAGGAAATCGATTTACTTATATGTTTGCTTCTGTGGGGAGATGCTTTAACTTGTATAGTTAGCACACACTCTTAAGTATTGTATAAACACTACAGTCTGGCTTTCCTCATAGGAAGCGACAAAGGGAAGAAGAAATTGAAGCTCAAGAAAAAGCCAAACGCGAAAGGGAGTGGCAAAAAAACTTTGAGGTAACTTTCCAAGGTGGTCAGGGAGGGATTCTTTTTTTTTTTTTTTTTAAATATATTTTATTGATTTTTTATAGAGAGGAAGAGAGAGGGATAGAGAGTTAGAAACATCGATGAGAGAGAAACATCGATCAGCTGCCTCTTGCACACCTCCTACTGGGGATGTGCCCGCAAGCAAGGTACATGCCCTTGGCTGGAATCGAACCTGGGACCTTTCAGTCCGCTGCTCTATCCACTGAGCCAAACCGGTCAGGGCAGGGAGGGATTCTTATTTCAGAGCAAGAAAACTTCCCAGCAAAGAAACTTGGTTTCTGGGGCATTCCCAAGATTGACTGGAGCTGACAGTCAGGGAAATGGGATATGGGGGAAGAGTGAGTTGCCCTGCCTCAGCCTCCTGTGAGCTCTGTCGCCTTGGCAAGGGCAGTGAGGATCCCGGAATGGTGTCTTAGGGATTGTGGTAGGCACACGCTGCTAAGTAGGCTCAAGAAAAATGGCCTGCCCATTTAATTTAGGGGCAGACAAGGAGAGGTGCCCTACTTAGAGGTCTTTTAGTAGAAACCGAGGTTCTTATGGACCCGATGTCCTGCCTACAGAGAGACTTGTGGTTTCTGAACCTTACTCCCCTTTGACACGCTAGTTACATCCTTCAGGTGCACAGCTAGTTATCTGAATTGAGCAACACTTGGTCTCAGGGTAGGGATTGGCTAGCCAGAGTTGATGACTTTGTACCATGCATGCATGAATACAGAGAAGATGAGCAGGCCCCTTGATAAGGAGGAAGAAGTCCCCAGTGGCCTCTCAGTACAGCTGGTGCTGGCTTTGAGCCTCCATCAAGTGTTGGTGGGAAGCAGGACAGGTGCGGGAAGGAGTGGCTGTGTTATACTGGCTGGCCATATGGCTTCGAGAAAATGACTTGACTTCTCTGAGCCTTGGTGTTGTCATTTGTGAAATGCTAGTGGCACTGTACACAGATCAGTCAGCTTTTTGTGAGGATTAGAAATAGCATATGCTAACTGTCCAGCCCAGAGGTCCCCAACAAAGAGTGGCCTCCTTGTTGATATGAGTATTACTCATTTTGTTTTCCACTTCTGACCTGCGGCTGCCTTATCCTGCCTTCTAGGGGTGGTATGACTTTCCTGGGCAAAGGCTTGTTCCAGATGCTGAGCTAGGTTACAGGCAATGGCAGAGCAGGTCAGGCCCTTCCTCTTATTGACTAGTTTCCTTCCCTCCAACCACTTTTGTGTTTAGGAAAGTCGAGATGGTCGTGTGGACAGCTGGCGAAACTTCCAAGCAAATACAAAGGGGAAGAAAGAGAAGAAAAATCGGACCTTCCTGAGACCACCGAAAGTCAAAATGGAGCAGCGAGAGTGACGCCTGGGCCACAGCCACGGACCTTCCCCCACTGTCTCCCACCTGCTCTGAAGGACTCATTCTTTCCTCCCATTTCCCCCCAACATAGAATAGTATTTGCTTTTTAGGCCATTTTGTTTTCAAAACAATTTAATATCAATCAGAGTAATTCTTTTGTACATTGAAATGAGGGGCTTGGTTTAAAAAGAAACCTTCCTCCAGCCCTTACCCCTAGGCCAACCAAGATTGGAAGGTGCCACCACTGGTGCTGCCTTCTCCACCCTGTAACTTAATGTTTTGTACTTCACTGAATTGTCATGGTTAGAGACTTCGTGTATAGTTTGTGGAAATCATCCGATTAAACATATTGCTTAAAATGGTGTTGCTGTGACTTCAGATCCAAGCCTGGGCCACCTGGGGAAGCCCCTTTGCCTCACTGTCTCGCTTCTGGGTGTGGCACCCTTCAGAGCCACAGGTCAGACAGGGAAGGCAGTGGGCACACAGAGCAGTTGCTTGACACCCTGACATCCTGGGGTGTTAGGCATGTGTTCTTCCGTCTGACTGGCCAGTCTGCGTGGCATGAAGCTCTGCACCATCCAGACCTGCTCACTTCCCAAAGAGCTTGCTGTCCTCCATCTAACACCATTATGTCCTAGCCTGTCTGCATTCATTAGTGGTTGTATTCTGTATGTGTAATAAATTTTTATACCCTAACCATTACTGTAGTCTTAGGTGTTATTCCAAGGTGGGTCCCTTGTCTGGCTTGGTCCAACCCTGATATCCTTTGGAGTTCTGGCTCCCTTATTTGCTAAACCTTATATGCTAAACCTTAGTTTCTTCATCTGTCAAATGGGAATATAGACTACTGTGGCAGTTTTTAGGGAGGAGTAGCTATCTATACTAGTATACATAAAAGGCTAAGCGACTGGCCGGCAGTTCGACTGGCCAATGGGTATGACGTGCACTGACCACCAGGGGGCAGACACTCAATGCAGGAGCTGCTGAACGACAGCAACTTTGCAGAGTGCCCTCTCGCACTCTGGGACCCCTCAGGGGATGTCAGACTGCTGGTTTGGGCCCCATCCCTGCAGGCCAAGGGACCCCACCTGCTGGAGGGACCCTGCTCGTTCCACAGACACCCTTTGAGCTCTGGCACTGCCCCAGGTGCAGCCAGCCAAAGAGGGACAGCAGGAGATTGGCTCCAGGGTGGGTCTGGCCCATCTTGCCCAGTCCTCCCCTGCTGGTCACCTTCTAATTAATTTCCTTTCAATGTGCATGAATCCATGCACTGGGCCTCTAGTGGCATATATAAGGTAGCTCCACAGTGCCCAATGGGTGTTGCCAATATTCTTTCTGTGTTAAGTGAAGGTCCTGATTACTTTGAGAATTAAATAATTTGTGAAAGTACACGGCTCATTGTATATACTCAAATGTCCTGCTGGCTATGAGAGACAGCCCTTGGGAGGGACATAAGGTGAGATACAGAGAAATGATGAAGATAGGAGACACTGGATGACTTGAAATTAGACTTGCTACAGTGTTTTGTAGATGAGTAAAGAGGAATCATAATCACAAGGCACAATCTCTTGTATACTGCAACTTTGATTTGCTTCCTTTGGAGGGGTCAGAAACTTGGGTGTCTTACTGACCTCCAAGTGCAGCTGAGCACATCCCAACTACCCCTGAGTTTGAGCATGAGGGTGGGTGGGGTGGTTAACACTGGACCGAGGCAGAGGGGGGTGCACGTCATGAGGTAATACAGACTCCTGTGCTGGAGCAGCCACTCTCTTCTAGCCAGGTGAGTGACACCCACCTCATACAGCAGGTGTGCACACACCGCCTCCTTACAGGGTGTGTGGAGGTCACGGTTCAGCTGTCTACAAGCTTGTGCGTGGCGGGCCCAGGCTTTGCTCTCAGGAGGTTGTGCCAGCAATCGGCTATGGGTGTGCTGATTCCTTTAGCAACTATGCTGGTTTAGAAGTGAAGTGGTGAACACGATGGGGCCCTGGCTGCCCACCTCAGCCCGCTGGGGACATGGGTGCACGAACAGGTACAGAGATCATGAAAGGCACAACGTGCCCACTGCTCTGAGGAGAGGGCCCTCGATCCCGTTCTCAGCAGTTGGGGAATGTTTCCTGGAGGAAGTGAAATTTTTAAAAACATCCTCACCCGAAGATATATTTTACTGATTTTAGAGAGGAAGGGAGGGAAGAATAAAGGGGGGGGGGAAGGGAGGGAGAGAGAGAGACATCAATGTATGAGAGAAACATCGATTGGTTCCTCCCATAGGTGCCCCTAAATGGGGATGGAACCTGAAACCCAGGTATGTGCCCTGACTGGAATCGGAATTGAACCGGCAAACTTTCAGTGCATGGGATGACACTCCAACCACTGAGCCACACCAGCCAGGGCAGGGAGTGACCTTTGTAAAGGTGGTACCGAGAGGCTGATGCATCAGTTGGGAATGTTTTCAGGTGCAAGGAATGCCCAGCATAAGCAGATCGGGAATATCTGCTTGCATAGAAGCCTGGTGGCAGGCACTTCAGGTATTTTTCATGGGCTCAACAGTGTCCCCAGGGAACCAGGTTTTTACTGAGCCTCCTCTCCATCCTCTCTGGAGGGCTTGTCGTCTCATAGTCACATAGTTCCATAGGAGGTGGTGGCAGTACCACAGGGCACACCAATTACCAAGCAGAAATAACTCATCTGGGAGGCCACGCTTCCCCTGAAAGACGTCACTGGCCAATCATGGTCACATGTCCACCTCTAACTGTAAATCTGGGAAATCTGCAAAGCAGAACGGGCCGGCCACAGACCAGGACTTATCCCTGTGGCTGAGTACCTACCGTTCCCACTTCACTTTTGTTGGCAAGGAAGGAAGACGGGCAGATTGCCTGCTGGGGATGACTAACTGTCTGGCACAGGTGGGCTAGAACTTGAGGGAAAGATGTTTCAGTCGGAGGGAACAGCATGTGCAAAGACCCGGAGTCAGAGCATAGCCAATTTGTGGAACCGAACTTCCTTTGTTTTGCCTGGAGCAGAAAAATGGCTTGAGATGATGGAAATCTGAGATTCAAATTAAGAAATTTGGCTTTCAGCCGTGACATCCTATTTCCCCAGATGGATCAAAGCCTTCCCATTTCCTTTCCGGCATATGGTAGCCACAGACCCACTCGGAAGATGAGCAGCAGACCCCGCCCATTCTCAACTCCGCTCGAAGCCATTTCTTCAGTGATGAGCTGGCCGGGGAGAAGGGTGTGCATTGGGGTTGGAACTGAGGGAGCATTAGTCAAGATGCCTCCAGGGCGGGGCTGTCGATGTGGCAGCTTCTCCAGCCCCTTTATCTGTGAGTAGGTCCAGGGGTTCTTTGGGCAGGAAAGGCTTGCTGGAGGAGTGCCAGGGCCCAGGCAGACCGTGGGCCACTCCACTCCTCTTCCTGTGAATAACGAAGCAGGTTGCCAGCACCCATCCCCACTCCCCACTGGGCACATACCACAGGCAGAGATGAAGTGGAAGGAGCCAGACAGGGAGGTTAGAATCCTAGCATTTGGGCCGGAGACTTCAGTGCTGAGCCCTGCTTCCTTATGTGTACAGTGGGAATTAACCATCTAAGGCATCAGTTGCGGCCTTTGGCAGTCCAGTCGCCCTCCATCTCCCATCCCCGCGGCTGTGGTCTCTCAGCGGCTGCCTGGGCAAGCCACAGCCAGGCCCCGCCTTCTGTTTCCTTGCAGCCCCGTGAGAGGCTGCGGACCAGCCTGGGCCTGCCTTGAGGGCGGAACCTCAGTGAAGCAGGATTAGCCCCTCTCCGTTTCCTCTCCTCCTCTCCACCCCCCCATAGCCATCCTGGGACCTCTGGTTCATCTGCCCCCCCTGCTGGGGGTTGCCAAGCGCTTCTCACCATCGAAACTAGGGATCGGGATGTGTGACCTGAGTATTGTGGAAGGGCTTGGGGACACCTTACTGAGAATTGGCTCTGCCCATTGTAATCCTGGCAAGTCATTTCCCCTGCTCTGGGCTTTAGCTTCCTCTTCTTGGGTAAAATGAGGGTAAAAATACCTCCTCCGTCCTCGTTCCGTGAACTCTAGGGAGGTTCTGTGGATCGTGGAAAGCACAAACCTTGCAAATGGAGGCAAAAGGCCTGCGTTTGAGGTCAGACGACTGAAGTCTTGAAACTTCTCTGAGCCTCAGCTTCCTCATCTCTCAGGTTTTCGCCTTGCGTGTCAAGAACATCAGGGAACCAGGTGCCTGGCACCTGTGGGGTGCACAGTGAGTACTCCCTGCCCCCTCTCCCGGCCTGGTGGTCCCAGTTCCCAAAACAGTGGAAGAACAGAGGATTGAGGACACCTGGGAAACTTGTTAAAGAGACAATCCCTGAAGATTCGGATTCCGAGTTCAAGGTGGGGTGTGTGTGGTGGGGAGACAGCGGCTGGAACTTGAACAAGCCCCCAGGATAACTCAGCCAGCGCTGGAACATCAGGCAGGGGAGCCAGTCCTCCACGAGGTGGGGTGGGGTGGGTGGAGCTCGAGGTTCTGTCAGAGATACCAGTATCCTCACCCCACACCTGTGCTCAGCGGGCAGCCCTTATTTGAGGTGGGTGGTAGGTGAGCATGGCTGGAAAGAGCCCTTCGGTGATTGAACTCTCCTTGCCAGGCCGGGGTTTCGCCTGGGCTCCCTCTGCTCCATGGGCCACCTGCCTTGGTGCTTGTTAAACATTTATTTCACCGGTGGCCCACCACCAGCACTGCCATCTCAGAATCTCTCTCTCTCTCCTCTTTTTTTGTTTTTTACATTTTTTCTTTATTGATTAAGTTATTACATATGTGCCCTTATCCCCCCAATGCTTCCCCCCCACCCCACCCCGCTCATGCCCTCACCCCCTGGTGTCTGTGTCCATTGGTTAGGCTTATATGCATGCATACAAGTTCTTTGGTTGATCTCTCCCTCTTACCCCCACCCTCCCCTACCTTTCCTCTGAGTTTTGACAGTCTGATTGATGCTTCTCTGTCTCTGGATCTGTTTTTGTTTATCAGTTTATGTTGTTCATTATATTTCACAAATGAGTGAGATCATGTGATATTTATCTTGCTCTGACTGGCTTATTTCGCTTAGCATAATGCTGTCCAGTTCCATCCATGCTGTTGCAACTGGTAGGAGTTCCTTCCTTTTTACAGCAGTGGAGTATTCCATTGTGTAGATGTACCACAGTTTTTTAATCCATTCATCTGCTGATGGGCACTTAGTTTGTTTCCAAATCTTAGCTATGGTGAATTGTGCTGCTATGAACATAGGGGTACATATATCCTTTCTGATTGGTGTTTCTAGTATCTTGGGATATATTCCTAGCAGTGGGATTACTGGGTCAAATGGGAGTTTCATTTTTAGTTTTTTTGAGGAAACTCCATACTGTTCTCCACAGTGGCCGCACCAGTCTGCATTCCCACCAGCAGTGCACGAGGGTTCCTTTTTCTCCGCATCCTCTCCACACTTGTCGTTTGTTGATTTGTTGATGATAGCCAGTCTGACAGGTGTGAGATGGTACCTCATTGTTGTTTTGATTTGCATCTCTCGGATGATTAGTGACTTTGAGCATGTTTTCATATGGCTCTTGGCCTTCCTTATGTCCTCTTTCGAAAAGTATCTATTTAGGTCCGTTGCCCATCTTTTGATTGGGTCATTTATCTTCCTTTTGCTAAGTTGTTCAGAATCTCTTGAAGTG